CGAGAGGTCAATCTCAAACTTACATTCGCCCATGCCGTTGGTGCTGGAATGAGATTGGAATTGGATAAGAGATTTAGCACGCCATGCCTAGAGGTAACGGGATCTGTTATCATGCTCACTAACTATGGTACATATAGGTCATCAAACAATCAGAAAGGTCACCTGATGTACCACAAATGTCACAACACATACACCAAAGGTCACGAGACATGACACATCTGTGAGACCTGCCCAATCATACACATGTCACCCACATCGACCACCACGTCGACATCGTCACGAAGTCTTATCACAGTCGCGGTGGCGATACTCACATGATGAACTCGTCCTGTGTGGGCACGGCCCACGTCTGTGAGTGATCCCACGATATGAGAGGACCCAGCATCGCTGTTCCCTGCGACACGGGGAAGTGCGGTGCCGATGGCTGCAGCTTGCATGGCGCCGGGTTGACTCCACTCACGTAACACCTGTTCATACAAAGCAGCACATCACTCAAAACAGGAAAGATCCGATACGTGATGCTGCAGTTCTGGCTTCCTACTTCAGCATGCTGAGTAACCACACGCAACTTCCTTAATGAATACTGACGGTAAGTGTGTGCTCATTTTATATCAGTATACTACATGTATTATATATCATATAATATTTTAACAATAATTGTGTGCTCTTTTTATATCAGTATACTACATGTACTATATAACATATATTTCAAATGAAAGAATCTTACTTTCCGATGCTGGCCAGGAAGAACTTGATGTTGTCTTCCTCCCTGCGATTCTGCAGACCAATGATCGTCGTCCCATCGTTAAGGGACCGTCTCAATATGGCCTGCAGTAAGCAGTGGGAGGCAACCTCAATCACGATCGCGTTGTCCGGCACATGAGTCAGTCCCTCCTGAAACAGTACTGGGCTCACCTGCAATAGTAAACGAGATTGTAGCCGTGATCGATGTACCGCCCTCGCGATGAATAAATCAGTGGGGAAGGATGCATCCGAGCGATAGAAATGTACTGCACAAGGAATCATTATACACATGAAATGCTGTGAGTATTGCATAGACTTGAAGTAGAGTATACGCATGGGTGACAACACCCGCACGCATGCACCTACTAGGTTGTTGACGTGGTAGTCAGCAGACGACAGCTGAGCCAGGGCTGAATCCCACCTGCTCTCTGGAATAGATGTACTGATCCACTTTGCAGTCCTTCGCTTGGGATGTTTGATCACCTATACGGTAAGCATGGCACGTGTCACAGCGAGATATGCAGCTCACGACACAAAAGGCAGCACATACGAGGCATCCTCAATATCAGACATCGCACGCACAAGAAGAAATATTCTTACATGATACCTAACCTGTACAGATTTCTGTTTAGCACACTTAGTTAAACACCCTATATAAGTCATTTTGTTTAATCAATTAGATAATATGCCATTAACATCAATTTTTAAAATAAGATAAAGAATGTTCATTTGAGAACAAAATTGAAAATAATCATTTAAGCTGAATATTGACAACCGATTCAATTTACAATAGAACATTAATAACAAACGCTGAGTAAAAGCAGACGTTAAACGTGCTAGACTCATGACTTTGGAGGAAACCGTGGTATGTCTTCGTACATTAACGAGTGCAGCCTTGAGCTTAGGAGCGATCTGCGCCATCTGGTGAGAGTGGAAGGCAACGCCTGAGCTCGCCACCTCTCTCACGAACACGTCGTCGGCTCGCAGCTCAGCCATGAAGACGTCAACACTCGCAGCCGGTCCTGAGATGGTGACACTGTCGCGAGAGTTGTGACACGCGGCGACAACGTCAGCCGGACAGCGACGCCTCGTCTCCTCCCACGTCAAGCCTACACACACGCACGTGAACACGTATATATACAACACTGACCGACCCGCACGCACACCTGAACCCACTGAGACTGACCGATCGACTGACGCAACACGTCGTCACGTACCGTCGAGCGATGCCGCGACGATAGCCTGGAACTCGCCGCTGTAGTCGTAGCCGCGCATGCGCAGCTCCTTGTACACGTCATCGGCACATAGCGGCAGCGGCTCGCCGTGACCTTTCAACTTCAGCGGCTCGGGTATGTCGAGACTCGCGTGAGCCGTGATGCGCCCCCTGGCGACGAGCGTCTCGCCTTCCGTCACCTGAAAGTCGCCCGTCGCCTGCATGATGTTGACAGCTAGCGTCACCTTGCCTGGTGGGAGAGAGAGAAAGAGCGGCGGGTTAGATGGAAGGCGGTGATGTCCGTCACCTTGTGAAGAGGGTATTCCGCACCATTACCATGTGATTATTGGAAGGGCAATGTAGTTATGTCTTGATTTTGATAGAAATTCAAAGCATTACAATCCAGCATCTTGCTAGCAGATTTAGTCTCTATAACTGCCAAAGATGCAGGTCAATTGAACTACTCTGTCCAATTAATAATGCAATGGTTACTGCATCATAATATACAATTAACGCCACCTCTTTGAGTTGTTAGTTGTACACAAAACGGAACTTATAGGCCGTCCGTGTGTATTAAGGGCATGAAACCTTGTACCAACACCTAGGTCATACACGTAGGCACATCCAACCTAAATTTTAACAAAGCTCAGATATAATATCAGAAAACCTGTTGTGATTCCTGTTCTATATGACATGGATACAGCGGCACACATGTATGCATGCCCACACCCACACGCACGCACGCACGCACGCACACGCACACACGCACACACACACACAATCACATGCACACACACACGGTCACGGGCACCCACAGATGCACGCACACACCCACACCGTATCACATAGTAACCACAAACTAAAAAGAGATAGCCGCACTCCCCTAAACTCACGACTGACAATTTGATGCGCCACCTACCGTCGGCGTGTATCACTGTCGCCCTCTGGATGTCGATGTCATTGAACTCCACGGCCATGCTCTCGTACGACTGTCGCCGCATCTTGGCGAGCGCGCGCCACACCAGCACCAAGTAACCGGTCGCCGGAAACAACACTCTGCCATCGATTGCGTGACCCAGCAAGTAGAGATCAGGTGAGGTCGCCGAGAGGTCAATCTCAAACTTACATTCGCCCATGCCGTTGGTGCTGGAATGAGATTAGAATTTGGAGATTAGAGATTAGAATTGGATAAGAGATTTAGCACGCCATGCCTAGAGGTAACGGGATCTGTCATCATGCTCACTAACTATGGTACATATAGGTCATCAAACAATCAGAAAGGTCACCTGATGTACCACAAATGTCACAACACATACACCAAAGGTCACGAGACATGACACATCTGTGAGACCTGCCCAATCATACACATGTCACCCACATCGACCACCACGTCGACATCGTCACGAAGTCTTATCACAGTCGCGGTGGCGATACTCACATGATGAACTCGTCCTGTGTGGGCACGGCCCACGTCTGTGAGTGATCCCACGATATGAGAGGACCCAGCATCGCTGTTCCCTGCAACACGGGGAAGTGCGGTGCCGATGGCTGCAGCTTGCATGGCGCCGGGTTGACTCCACTCACGTAACACCTGTTCATACAAAGCAGCACATCACTCAAAACAGGAAAGATCCGATACGTGATGCTGCAGTTCTGGCTTCCTACTTCAGCATGCTGAGTAACCACACGCAACTTCCTTAATGAATACTGACGGTAAGTGTGTGCTCATTTTATATCAGTATACTACATGTATTATATATCATATAATATTTTAACAATAATTGTGTGCTCTTTTTATATCAGTATACTACATGTACTATATAACATATATTTCAAATGAAAGAATCTTACTTTCCGATGCTGGCCAGGAAGAACTTGATGTTGTCTTCCTCCCTGCGATTCTGCAGACCAATGATCGTCGTCCCATCGTTAAGGGACCGTCTCAATATGGCCTGCAGTAAGCAGGTGCGAGGCACACCTCAATCACGATCGCGGTTTGTCCGGCACAGTTGCGTCCAGTCGCCTCCTGAACAGTACTGGGTCACTGCATAGTAAACGAGATTGTAAGCCGTGATCGAGTGGACCGCCCGTGGGCGGATGAAGTAAGATCAGGCGGCGGTAAGGATGCCATCCGAAGCATAGAAACTTGTACTGCCGCGCAAAGGATCTATTAGTATACACTTAAATTGCTGCACTGAGTATTGCATAGGACTTGAAGTAGAATATACGCATGTTGGGGTGACCAACACCCGCACGCATGAGCACTACTAGGTTGTTGACTGGTGGGTAGTCAGCAGACGAGGCAGCTGGGGCCAGGGCTTGTATCCCACTCATGCTCTCGTGGAAGTCGCATGTACTATCCACTTTTGCATCAGTCCGGTTCGCTTGGGTGTTTGATCACCGTATACGCGTAAGCTATGGGCAGTGTCATCAGCGAGATTGCAGCTCACGACACCAAAAGGCAGCATCATGACGAGGCATGATCCTGCAATTATCAGACATCGCGCGCCACACTAGAAGAAAGTATTCTTTACATGGTACCTAACCTGTACAGATTCCTGTGTGTAGTCCACCACTTTAGTTAACACCCTATATAAGTCATTTTTGTTTGAATAGAAGTTTAATCAATTAGATAATTATGCCATTAACATCAAAATTTTAAAATAAATAACAGAATGTTCATTTGAGAACAAAATTGAAAATACTGGATTCAAATTTACAATAGAACATTAATAACAAAACGCTGAGTAAAGCAGACGTTAAACGCTGCTAGGACTCATGACTTTGGAGGAAACCGTGGTATTGTCTTTCGTACATTATAACGGAGTGCCTAGCCTTGAGCTTGAGGAGCGATCTGCGGCCATCTGGTGAGGAGGATACAAGGCGACGGCCTGAGCTTGCCAACCTCTCTCACGAACCCGTCGTCGGCGTCGCAGCTCGCAGCCGATGAAGACGTCAACACTCGCAAGCCGCGGTCCTGCAGATGGGTGACACTGTCGCCGAGAGTTTGTGGACACGCCGGCGGGACAGACGTCAGCCGGACAGCGACGCCTCGTCTCCTCCCACGTCAAGCCTACACACACGCACGTGAACACGTATATATGTATATATATAATATATATAATATATATATGTATATATATAATATATATATGTATATATATAATATATATATGTATATATATAATATATATATATACATATTCTATATAGGGTATTACGTTTCGCAATGTGTGCCTCTGTCTCTGTTGTGTTTGCCATGCATTTTAGTGATTATTATAGTAGGTGTGTGCACCCTCATTTATAAGAAAGAGATGAGTGATTGAGAGAAGCAGGGACTTACTCCAATGGTAACTAACTACATTTAACCATATACCGCAATATATGACAGTTAGACAGAAAAAACTCACTACCACTCAATAAGGCTTCTTCAAGTAAACAAGGAAGATACAGTAATTTTGTCGTTTAAAACAGAAAACGGTTCCATAAACTAGGAAAAGGGCAGTGGTGAGACTGCGCAAGCTACATTATATCCCCGTGTTGCTCCCACAGATGTTAAAGATATACGAAGTTGGGTCGCGCTAGGGTCAATTAGGCGGCCAATGTTATAGAGTGGAGGGAAGTATGATGAACGGTCAAGCGTAAATAAGGTTGCAGTGACCTGGTTTTTGTACGAGCACACATCCTTTCTGCACAAGATGTGTTTAAGTATTACCAGTTTTGGTCGCGCTAGGTCATTAGGGGCCGAGTTTATAGAGTGGCAAGGGAAATATGAGTTTCAAGGTCAGGTTAAAGGTCAAAATGAAGGGTCGCCTAGTGACCTTGATTTTGGTACGCGACACAACATTCTCTCCGAGATGTGTAAGTATACCAGTTTGGTAGCGCGCTAGGTCAATTACGGCGGCCGAGTTATAGAGGTCATAGAACAATATCAGATCAAGGTCAAATAAAAAGGTCGTACGTGACCTCTGGTGTGGTAGTGCTTATGCGTCAATTAGGGGCGGGAGTTAGAGAGTGGAAGGGAAGATGATGAATCAAGTCAAATAAAGGGTCGCCGAGTGACCTGCGGTTTTTGGTAGCGCTTGCTCACCTTCGGCTCCCCAAGATGGTGTAGCAGTTATACCAGAGGTTTGGTAACTAGTCAAATTAGGGGCGAGTCTAGAGGAGCGGGAAGGGAAATATGATCAAGGTCAACGTAAAGCGTGTCAAATAAAAAGGTCGCAAGAGTGACTGGATTTTGCGTACGCTGCTCACCTTCCCCAAGATGTGTAAGCATAACCAAGTTTGGTAGGCCTAGGTAAAATTAGGGGCCGAGTAGAGAGCAGAAGGGAAATATAATCAAGGTCAAGGTAAAGGTCAAATAAAGGTCGCAGTGACCTGGTTTTGGTACGCGACAGACCTTCTCCCCAAGATGTGTAAGTATACCAAAGGGCCGAGTTATAGAGGGAAAGGGAAATATAATCAAGGTCAAGGTAAAGGTCAAATAAAGGTCGCAGTGACCTGGTTTTGGTACTCTGCACACCTTCTCCCCAAGATGTGTAAGTATACCAAGTTTGGTCATACTAGGTCAATTAGGGGTGGAGTTATAGAGCGGAAGGGAAATTCTCTGCAGCGGACCGAGCGGCGGCGGCGGCTGGGGAGACATGAAACCATAGTATCCCCGCTGACTTCGTCGCGGGGGATACAATAATAAGGTGGAGCAGAAATACAGTATAACTATATATTCGGAGGATTAACATGTTAATTACCGATGGCAGCCATCTTGCCAGCCGGTAGCTTGGCCTCGCTCACGCACTTTCCTCTCCAGTAAGCACAGAGTACAGTCTGTTCTGCAGTCAGGCATCCGTCTGCATAGGCGCAGGCCAACTCACCGACCGAGTGACCGACGAAACCATCGCCATAGATGCCGAGCGAGCGTAAAACATCAATCAGCGCCACCTGTGTTCAAAGACGAGTTTTTAACTCGAAATCCCAACTTTTCAGAAAACGTTTTATCGACTTCATGGGCATTAGCACAAACTGCTATCACACAGAACGTAAACTGAACATATTATACTGACGACTGAATTATTCATTAATACATTATTTGCAAACATATTTCATTTACATTGCCGCTTAATTGCCTGGAGGATGGTTTTCAGAGTTTCCTCATTCTCTTTAAACTTGCAGTAGCTGCACTGTGACTGATTTTTCTCAGGGATTATAACTCTTTAACTCAATGTCATATTGTCAGCGTTATCGTCAGCATGTCGTACGCGGTCACGCACGCTCACCTGTACGGCGGCTATTGCGGCGAAGGCAACAGGTGTGCTCTCCAGCATCTTCTCCTCGCCTGACGCTATGATGTCACAGAGGTCGACCCCGTGACCCATGAGCGTGTCAGCTAGCCGCAGCATTGTCTGCTTGAAGGCGGGCACGCGCATCATGTCGCGCGCCATGCCCGGCCACTGCACGCCCATGCCAGAGCAGACAAACCAAATGGGACGAGCCTCACTGCTGACACGCTGCATGACAAGAGACATAATTATCATACAGGCGTCAACACACACGCAATTGTCACAACGTGCGTCAATGTACAGACAAGTGTCACAATATGTGTCAGTGCACCCGCAGGTGTCACACATATATCAGCAAGAGACAAATGCCACAAATGCATGTGACAATTATCAAACGTGCGTCAATGCAGAGACAAGTGTCACAACACGTGTCAATGTATTGACAAGTGTCAGACGCACATTGAGAGACAAGTGTCACATGCATGTCAGCAAGATACAAAAGTCATCCATGCATCAATGAGACAAGTGTCACACAAGTGGAGACAAGTGTCGCACACGAGTCAACACAGATGAATATAGGCACAGAACAACAATCATACCTAAATGTAAAATGTAAACTTAATCTGGAATGAAAGGGTTCAAAACTTAAAATGTCACTGCACATGGTAGATGAGAAGTTTGAGGAATCACACATAACTATAATTGTTAATTTGTTATATACTGAACATCATGCACCAACCTTTACCCATGTACTTCTAAACTGGCATCCATTGATAACGATGACTAAAACTCAGATATGGAGTGAAGCGTACCTGCACATCGGCGCTTTGCTTGCTAGTGTTAAGCACCGTGAAACCCCTGTACGGATGCAGACTGGTGGGACTGGCATATATAAGATCCAGCAATGCGAGAAACTCTGCGTCATGCGAGTTTTCCTCGGCTGCTCTCAGCATGCCTTCAACGCCCTCTGGTGTCCTTCCTGCTACCTTGACTAGCCGCGCCTCATCGGTCATCATTTGTGGTCTAAAACATGATGCGTACACACTAGCCATAGAACAAAAACAACGCATCATGTGCGTACGTGAATGCCCACTCACGCACGTACATTGTATAATAACTATATCAGAAAATATCTTTTAGTGATGAGACAACAACTGTGTTGAATGGTTGACATGTAGATAATTATATATATGTATATATTTTTAAGTACTTACCTCGCATTGTTTGGACCCTTCAGAATCACATGGACATTGGCACCACCAAACCCGAATGAATTAATGCCAATAAAGCTGCCCCTGGGAAGTGGCATAGAGCTAGTCACAACTTGGAGCTTTCCATTAATCAGGCCGGGAATGTCTGGATTTGGCTCATTGTAATGCAGGTTTCCAGGAACAGCTCCCTCCTCCATTGCTAGTATTACCTTTGCCATTGCAGCAAGACCTTTTAACAAAACAGTTACACAATGTATACGACTTGCTCTAAACACTGGTATCATCTTTTCTTGCTAACTACATGCTTAATCACTATAACTTAAACGATAGTCAGCCTCTCAGATATTGAATGACTGTAACAATAACATTATAGTAAGCTATGGAGCAAAAGCTCTCACCAGCAAAGTTGTCCCAAAACGCCCCTTTGCAATATATACCTGATCATTATAGAAACCATTCTGTAGTCTCCTCATCATTATCGCGTATACCATTAGCATATCTATACTAGATGTATAGTCGTATACATGTTCATGTGTATACCTGAAGCAGGCTCGGCGTGCCCCATGTTGGACTTCACCGAGCCAATCGGCAGCGCTCCCTGGCGAGCCTTGCAGAAGACGTCGGTGACAGCGTTGAGCTCCTGTGGATCGCCGACCTTAGTGCCGGTGCCGTGAGCTTCTACGTATGCAACCTTCGCAGGGTCAACCCCCGCCTCACCATAGACTTCCTGCAGCAGCTGCTTCTGCATCGCGCCGGCCGGGAACGTAACGCCTGGCGTGGCGAGATGCATGTGAGACGGTGGTTAGTGTGTTCGTAGAATAGAATAAATTCATCTATGAGTTTAGATGAGATATCAATCGCGATATCGGAAGATGCTTCAAATGCCTTAACATACGGTAATGCTATCCTCAACCCCATATAAAGCACATCTACACGATGAGAACGTGTGCATGTTTTAACACGTTAAAAGACGTATACACACCTTGTTCCTTAAACCCGTCTGTGTTAGCCTTGGAATGAACAATAGTTAGATAGATCCTCCTCGCTGAAGCTCTCTTCTGTAACAGAACTACTACAGCGCCCTCTGCCCTGCAGTAGCCATTGCCTGAAATGGTCCAAATTGCACCAAGTTTATTCAATTAAACAAACTAAATTCACACACCATAACTTGCCACGTTTTAAATCGCTACATCAACAGCACCATCAACAGCTACATCAACAGCACCATCAACAGCTACATCAACAGCACCATCAACAGCTACATCAACAGCACCATCAACAGCTACATCAACAGCACCATCAACAGCTACATCAACAGCACCATCAACAGCACCATCAACAGCTACATCAACAGCTACATCAACAGCACCATCAACAGCTACATCAACAGCACCATCAACAGCACCATCAACAGCACCATCAACAGCACCATCAACATCACCATCAACAGCACCATCAACAGCTACAATCAACAGCTACATCAACAGCTACATCAACAGCACCATCAACAGCACCATCAACAGCACCATCAACATCACCATCAACAGCACCATCAACAGCTACATCAACAGCACCATCAACAGCACCATCAACAGCACCATCAACATCACCATCAACAGCACCATCAACAG